TGTTTTTTTTTTTTTTTTAATATTTAATTTTACAAGTGCTTTGTGAGACTTTCAGAAGGTGCCCACGGGTGGGGAAGTGAAAGGAGGAGGGACGGGGAAGAAACTGCTTCTTTATTTCTAGCCTCGCTTGAACGGGTTCTTGACGGTTACTGCTACAGTTTTGCTGAGTCAGAAGCATCCCCCAGCTGCTCACCGGAAACACAGCTGTTAGGCGAAAATAACCACAGAGCCGAGCATCGTGCACCTTCCAGAAAAGAGGGCAGAAAAACCTCAAAACAAAAGAGAAAAATACAAAACAATAGAAGAGGCACCGTCGGAAGGCTGCGCGGCTCGCCCCCGCGCCCAGGCTTGTGGCTCAGAGACGCAGCAAAGTCTGGTTGCTTTTCCATTTCAGTGGGCTGAATCTTGCCCCGTCCCAATAGAGAGAGACATGCGACCGTGTCCTAACCCCTGGAAGCCGTGAATGTGATATGCCTGGAGCCAGGGTCTCTGTGGAAGTAACTGACTTAAGGATGCGAAGTGGAGACGATTCTCGATTACCTGGGTGGGCCCCAAATCCAAAGACAGGTGTAAAAAGCGAGGCAGAAGAAGATCAGACACACAGACAACACACGGAGACACAGGGAGGGGAAGGCCAGGTAAAGACGGAGGCAGAGGTGGGTGTCACAGGCGCCTGTAGGCCGACGGACACCAAGGATTTGTCATGGCAGCCACAGGACATTATACAACAGCCACAGCTACCATTTGCTGGGTCCTGTCCCCAGCCACCCCTTTCCCCTCATCCAGGTCCAGACTGAAAGCATTCACAGCATCTTGCGTGCGAGGTGTCTTACATGGACACTGAGCTTCCCTTCCCTCTGGGCTTCGTGATTATCAGGAAGGACTTGAGGGCTCCAGGGACTGGGCGGGATCAGGGATCCCTGCTTCTGGACGAGACTCTCTGCCACAGGCCAGGTGTGTGCCCTCATCAACCAGCCCGCACTCACTGAGGTCGCTGGGCACTGCACGTTAGAAAACAGGCTCTGGGTTTGAACACCGGTTCTGCCACTTCCTGGCTGTGGGGTCTGGGGTGAGGATGTTGGCCGCTCTAGGCCTCGGTTTCCTCATCTGGACAATGGGGAGATGACCTGAAAACCACCCTGCTGAGACACAGAGATGTTGTCAAGAATAACTACTGTGAACGCATAGCAGAGATTCTAAGGAAAGTTGGGGCAGCTGCCAGAGGCCAAAAACAAAGAAGGAAGCAAAGTCCAGAGCTGAAGGTGCTGTGCCAGCAGATCTCTGTAGGAGCCTGGGGACGGGAGACGCCACCCGGGTCACACCAGGCCAGGGGCTGGAGCTGCAACACTCTCCTCTCCCACGAGGTTGGGGCTTCCAGGACCTTCCCCCTCTATATGGCTGTGAGGACTCAGTCAGCACATGCAGGGCTGTGCCCCACAGCTTTTATGGTCCAGCGCTCTATCGAAGTGTCATAAACTACCGGGAAAGAAAACTTTGCTCTCCCTTGGTTCTACTGTGTAAGTGAGTTATAAGCCCGGACCTGTAGGAGGCTACCTCTGCCATGACCTTGGGAGAGCCTACCTGAGGATGATGCCAGAACCGAAAAGAGCTGAGATGAGAGACAGAAATTCTTGATGACATTGAGTCCCTGGATCCAGCAGTGCCTGAAACCATCCATAGCTCCAAACTTCCAGTCCCACTGAGATAATACGTATTCTTCACGCTTAAGATAATCTGAGTTGGCCTCTTATGAACAAAGCATCCTGACTCACACATTATTTTATGTGATCATCGCAGCAACTCAAGGAGGTAGGCATCTTACTATGTCCATCTTATGAGAGGAAATTGAGGCTCACAGACATTTCATCGCTTGCTCAAATCACACTGCTAGTAAGTGGCAGGGCCGTGACTTGAACCCAGGGCTATGATGTGATTCCCCTCAGCCCTGGGAAGGCAAAAGATGTTGTTAGTGCACCCAGGCTTCTGTGTCGTGACTTGAGAAAGTCACAAAAATCTCAAGGCCTTGTGTGGCTCATCTATGAAATAAGATTTGGTGTATTTTTAACCTTTTAAATATACATGTATATATTAAAATAAATATATAAATATTAAAAATATATATTTATATACATAAAGATTACTATGACCATCAACCTTCTATTTTCTGTCCGTAGCTAACAGATGTTAGCATTTTGTCATAGTTGCTTCAGAGGCAAGACAATTTCTGAAAATCCATACAATTCTTTGTATCTTGATTCTGGATTCTGAAAGTCAGTCTGATTCTGAATACTTCGAAATAAAAAACAAAAATAAAAGTTCTCTTATATTTACTTACAGACTTAAAATCTCTGGTATTCTCCATTCCTTGTGTGGATCTGAGTTTCCACCTGGTACCATTTTTCTTCAGCCTAAAAAAGAACTTGTAATATTCTGTAGAGTGCAGGTCTGCTGGTGACAAGTTCTACCACCTTCTGTCTGCCTGAGAAACATTTTTATTTCACTGTCATTTTCTAAGGATAAGTTTCACTGAATACAGACTCTTCGTTGACAGGGTTTTGTTTGTTTGTTTGTTTGTTTGTTTTAATTCAATATATTAAGGATGTCATTCCATTGTTGTATGGCCTGCATTGGCTTTAAGGGGGGAAAGCAGTGATATTTCTTATCTTTGTTCATTGAATGTAATGTTTCTTTTTATCTTGGCTGTTTTCAAGATTTTCTTTTAATTGCTAGTTTTAAATAATTTGATTACGATTGCCGTGATCTTGTTTTCTTTGGGGTTATCCTGATGGCAATTTGTTGGGTTTCTTGGGTCTGTCGCTTTATAGCTTTTATCAGTTTTTGGAATGTCATCAGCCATTTTCATTTCAAGTATTTTGTTCTGCCCTCTCTTCCTCCTGGGGTTCCAATTACATGTAGGACCATCTAATGTTGTTGTAGCGGCTCCTGGTGTCGTGCTCCTTTTCTTCCCTAGTCCTTTTTTTCCTTGTACTTCATCAACTTATATTATTATGTCATCATGTGCACTGGTTTTGTTTCTTCTGCAATCTTTAATATGCTGTTAAACTTATTCAGTGAAGTTTTCATTCTAGATATTGTATTTTTCCTCTCTCGAAGCTTCATTTAGTTCTTAAAAACAACAACAACAACAACAAAACCTCCACTTGGAGCACCTGGGTGGCTTATTCAGTTGAGCGTCTGACTCTTGATTTCAGCTCAGGTCATGATCCCAGGGTCGTGGGATCGAGCCCCGTGTAGGGCTCCACACTGAGGATACAGCCTGCTCAGGATTCTCTCTCTCCCTCTCTCTCTGCCCCTCCCCTGCTCATGCTTGGTCTCTCTGCCAAAATAAATAAACATTTTTTAAAAACACTTTCACTTCTCATGTTCATGCTTTCCTTTAAATCTTTGAACATATTTGTAATAGCTTTTTAAAAGTCCTTGTCTGTTAATGACATCATCTTTGTCATTTTGGATCAGTTATACTTATTGGTAGTTCTCCTGGTAATGGGTCACATTTTCTTGCTTTTTAGGTATCTAGTAATTTTATGTTGGATGCTAGACATTGTTAGTATTATGCCACTGTTGTCCAGATATTTGTCCTCTTCCTTTGGGATTCAGCAGCTGAGTTACTTACTGGTCAGTTTGATTTTTTTCAAGCTTCTTAAAAAAGCTTTACTGAGTGAACCTAGTGGAGCCTTTCTTCCAAGGCCGGGTTAGCCCTACTACTAAGGTCTGACCTTACTGTGGGTCTCTAATGAATGCCTTGGATGTTCGACAAACTTATTCCTCTTCTGGTTTGCTAAATCTTGAATGTCCTCTGGTCCTATGAGAGCTCTGGGAATTATTCAAGTTATTCTTCCCCAGTAGTTGTTCTTTGTCATCCTTACAGCATTCCAATCCGTGCTTGGGCAATTTAGTATTCAACCAATCACTCAAGGGACTCCCTATACAGATTTCCAGCACTGTTTAACTACATAGCACCTTCTTCTCTAGAATTTTGGCTCACAAATTCCAGCCTCTTTAACCTCTACATATGATAATCTATATGTCCTCAACTCAGGGAAACTTCCACGATTCCCCTGCTTGGGATTCCCCTCCCTGTGCTGCAACCTAAAAAGTACTTCTAGGCAGGAAGCCAAGGTGATCATAGGGCTCACTTCATTTGCCTCACTTCTTTGAGTGCTCACGGTTATGCACTGCCTGTTGCTCAATGTCTGAAAACTGTTGTTTCATATTTTTTTTCAGCTTCCTAGTTGTGTACAGATAGAAAACAAGTCTAGTACTAGTTATTTCATTATGGCCAGAGGCAGAAGTTGACTCTAACTTAAGGGGGGGGGGGG